GAATCCTGTGGCAGGTGGCGGTCAGTTTCACGATGAAATTGGTAGAACAAACCAAGGTTGATGGGATATCAAAAATCCTGATTGGCTTTAGTTACCGAGTGACTGCTGGGAGAAATGTGGTTTTAAGAAAGGGTGAGATTGGTGTGTAGGCAAGGAGCTGGGAGAGAACTCCAGGTCTAGGAGATACTTTGGAAGGAGTAAAAAGCAAACAAGAGGTAAACAGAATAATGTGATGGGTGGAAAAGCACAGGAGCCCATGGGGAAGGCTGGGCTTTAAGGGCACAGACAGTAAAACCAGCTAGAAGGCAGGAAGTGCACCCTGGGGTGGCCCTCCCGCACAGGAACCTGACCTGGACAGGAAGTGAAGGGCATCATCTGAGGAACAGGAAGGGGAGATGTGAGGGAAATAAGTGTCTGTTGCATAAACTTTGCTGGAGCTTTTATCCTGTTACAGGGTTGTAGGCAGCTTGGAGCTTCTCTGACAAAATAATCTGGCCTGCTGGGAGGTATTCGTGAAGGACAAGAAGGGAGACGGGAAAGGTTAGAGTGTGGACAATTACTATGGGGCTCTGTCTTGTCTTGGCTCCCTTTTGGGTGACATAAAATATTTGTCTTGGATCCAAACAGGATGAAAATAAGTCTCATTTCCTCCCCTCTCCCAACCCCCTGCCTCCCATGGTGAAATGATCTATATGGGACTCTTGGTTGACATATATCTTTGTGCTTTAATACAAACTAAAGGTTCAGGAGTGGGAAGTGGTTAAGAAGTTGTTTGCTGGGGATTATATCGATAATTCATCCTGTTTAGACTGAAGAATGACAATGATAAAGAAATTAAAACAACAAACAAACAAACCCACCAGGGTAAATGGGGCAGGGGAAGCTGAGAAGTTAAAATGAAGACAGAATTGAACATATGTAAATATAAACTTTTTTTTTTAAACCAGCTGTAAACAAAGTGGTATGAGGACAGATGGGAAGAGATATAAAAATAAACATTAAGTTAAAGGGGATAATTATAGGAGCCAAAATGAGAGGTGAGTGTTGCAAAGGATCCAACTAACTTTAGAGACTTGAGAAGTTTCTTCAAACATTTCCTTTCAGGACACTGTGGGGCTTTCAATTTTTCAGGATTTACAAGACCTTAAATGTATATGCTTTAAATATACACAAACACTCACATTTTTTTTGTTTATTTGTTTTTTCCCATTGGGGGAGAAGAGAGAGTAGGAGATGTGTTCTTCGTTGTCATTTGCAAAACAGCTTCCGGTACATTTTATTTGCTTTTAAAAGCCCTGGAGAATAGTCAGCAAATAGAAATTGGTTTGCAGAAATAACATGGCTTCCTGGAACTTAGGGGGAAGGAAATGGGTGGTTTCTTTAATGACTATAGTATTTGTTTAGTATAGTGTGTGTTATAACTAAAGATAGAATTCCGGCTAATGTCCAGGAGGGAAGGTGAATTTGGATATTAATAAATTCGGAAGCTTCATACAGTTGCGTTGAATGTACTAGGTTAAGTAAGACAATAATGCTCTTTGTTTTCCCTATCCTGGCCAGATCAGAGTGGACTGAAGTTTGTTTGCAGATATCTAATCAGTTTAAATTGAAGGGCATTATTATTTACATATGAAGAGCTAATGACTTTAATGTAAGCAAGTAAGCTTATTTACAACAAAGAAGTGATTGGGTGACAAGAGGAGTGTCGATACTGCCTTAATTAGTTGATTTGCTAATTATTCTTTTCTGCTGGGTGTGACAGTACTTTTCCTAATGAGCAAGAATGCTCCAGCAAGCGATTTTAACACAGTAGTAGTAGCAATAGCTTCTTGGCCATTTTAGGTCCATTCGTGCTGAAGTTGTTGACTTTATACAATTTTGCAGACTTCATAAGATCTAAGTGTATTCCTGTAGGTTTATCCTATTTATCAGCTGTATGACTTAGCTCAAGTCTGAGAAGCTTAAAAGGCATTTACTGAAAGTGAAAATAAATTAGATGGCAGGTTTGAATTTAAATAAGAATTAAAAATATGTCACACAGCAGTGCTATGCATTTATTTCTTCAGGCTTCTTAAAGATATTGATTGGTAATAGATGCATCCATGCTCATTGGTGTGGGAAGCCCTGGGGGAACGGCTGGAAGGCTCCTTCATTTTCTTTTGTGCAGGCTTGCATTTCTTCTGTATTTGAAAGTCATGATACTGAAGAAATTCAAAAAAATCCCCAGGAGATTCCATGTCCACATAACAAATGCAAACTTATCTTTATTTTAATGTGTTCACTTCTCATAACTCCTTGACTGGAACCCTTGACTTCTTCCAGTCTGAGAGTCCTGTAAGTTTCTGCCATAGGCATGCACATTCCTGACACCACACTTTTGCTTGGCTGTGCCTCCTGCCCAGAATGCTGTCTATTCTCTATGCACATCCTCTCTCTATCCCATTTTTGTCCTATTTCTTCCTGATTCAGAGAGGGTGGCGATTGGTGGATATGGCTAACATTATTAAGTATATCTCATGCTTTACATACTGTGGTGGCAATTTATGTGCATTGTTTAATGATACCCCTGTTTTACAGGTAGGGAAAAAGAGGCTTAGAGAATGTCACTGGGCTCACACTAGTAAGTGGCACAAAGCCGGACTATAAATCTAGGTCTTTTTGGTCATTTCTGGACTTAATCTTATAGTGCCTTGAATTGTTTCTTAGCTATTGCATCTACTAAGGCCTTATTTCTCTAACCAAATTGTCAGTGGCTAGAGGCAAGGAGCTTATCTTTTAGTCTGCATAGAGCAGGCCCTCAATAGTGATAGCCTTCTATTGAAGTGAAAAATAACATGTAAAAAGTTAAAGGATTTTTATTATTTGGTTAAACACTGGAAGAAAGAAACAAATCCCAGGAAACTAATTTCTCAAAATTACTGCATGAACACAAGACACTGTGGTTCTTAATGTGGTCAGCGCCATTCCCATGGGTGTCTGGAAACGTAGGGGGCAGGTCTTAGGTTGTCGGGATTCTGAAGGTATCTTGCAGTTAGTGTGTGGTAGACGGGGATGTCAAACATCTTGCAGAAAGTGGGACAGTTTTGCACCCTGCAGGGGCCCAGTAAGGGAAGCAGCACCTGGAAAACATGGACCCAGATGCCAGATTGAGTTCCAACCAACCTCCACCTTTTACTAACTGAGTAAATCTTTCTCATGTTAACCATGTGCCCTCTCCACTCGTGGCACACGGTTAGTTCCCAATAGCATCAGCTCATAATCACCATCCTCTAGAAAAGTGTCGCCCATGGCAAGACATGATCTTTGCGGAGAGACAGAACTTACTAGACTAGTAGTAACAGTATAAAAATCAAGATATAATGAACATATAGAATAGAATAATAGACAATGGAAACTCCAAAAGATGGGAGAGTGGGGTGGGAGGGAGTGGGGATGAGGCTTGAGAAATTACCTACTGGGTGCAATGTATAGTATTCGGGTGATGGGTACACAAAGAGCCCAGACTTCACCACTACACAATATATCCATATAACAGAACTGCATTTGTATTCCCTAAGTCTAAAAAAAAGAAACCAAAACTAAAAAAAAAAAAAAAAAAAAGAATCAAGGTGTGTTCCAAAACAGTGCTTCTCAAACCTGGATGTGCTTACAAATCTCTTAGAAATCTAGTTAAAATGCAGATTCTGATTCAAGGAGGGCTAGGGTGGGACCAGAGTGTCTGCATTTCTGATAAGCTCATAATCCCAGAGCTGCTGTTGGGTACCAAAGTTCTAAAGTATCTTGAGGGAGAAGCCAACTTAATGAGTGAAATAATGAAGCATTTATTGCATATCTACTATATAACTTAAATGATGAAAATAGAGTAATGGAGGTTGGATATGAGGCGTATAGAATTTGATTTCTTCACAGAAGGAGCTTCCATCTGCTTTGCCACTTTTATCTGAGAGACAGAGAGAAAGAGAGAGAGCGCGCACGCACATTTTCCATAGATAACTATATTTTTCAGGGGAAAAAGGCAGAGAGGTATTTCTTATGTGTGTTTCCTCACACAAAAAGGCCATTTTGGGTACCCAAATAATTTTAGAGGAGGTATTATAACTAAATAAAGGAAAAACTTGGCAGCCATTCTTGGATGCAGGGGGTAAGCCTTGCATATCTCAGAACTAGTGCGAATGGTGTGCATTTGGTTGTTTCTGTGTGTGCACAGTTTTACATGTCTGTGTATGAGCTGGAAAGTGTATTGGGCCATTGCTAGGAAATTGATTTCTTAAACATCACTGGAGAAGAGGGATATTTTCCCTCATACAGATTAAAGCCTCAAGTTAAGGGGCAGGAGTTCCTAAGGCAGCCTTGACTAGGAACTTTGCATATTACAGGCAGTCGATGTTATTTGAACGTAGTCATTGAGAGAAGAGACTACTCATTATCCACTTAAAATACTTCCCGGCTGCAGCATGGTGTTGTACGGAAGCCAAAGCAATTGGCTTTGCATTTGGCCAGCTGATTTAGCAAGAAATTTCGCAAATGATGCAGTCCTTACAGATGGTGCTGTTGGGTTTTTTAGAATGTTTTAAAACACTGATGGATTTGACCATGAATTGAATTTCCAGTCTCTTAGATACACCTCTAACCACCCCTTGACCATCTCCACGGCAGCTGGAGACAAGGAACAGACCTTTTCTGCAAACTTATGATAAATGATTTCCTTTAAAAACCACTCACTTAATAAAAATGATTTGGTGTAAACTTGGCCAAGGGGAACTCTTGAAACGTTCAGTTTCTTTGCCTAACTCTGAGTTGCTTGAGTCACATTTTTGCATGGCTCTTGATTGACTTTCTGGTGCTCTGCCTAGAGGTCCTTGCTTGTCTGTGAGTTGCCTGAGTCACATTTTTACATGGTTCTTGATTGACTTTCTGGTGCTCTGCCTGCAGGTTAAGAAGGAGCCAGTATCTCCAGGAGGAGTCAGAAAGCGCTCTGCCAGTGTGAAGTGTAAATTCTTGAGAGGCTGTGGCAAGGGTCCATGCCTGAATGTGTAGAGCAAGAACAGCTGGAGACTGTGGCTTTCTCCAGGAAGAAGTTTCTAAATTTGCCTCTTAGAAGATACCAGAAAGTTCAAGGTACTGTACCATCTTCACAGGCCAAATTCTTGTTCGGATCTTTACAACAGGGACCGGTTCTGATCTTTGCTGTTGACTGCTTGCTTGTTTTCTTGGTTTCTATTTGAATCATCACCTTTTATTTGTCTTTCTTGGTGCCCTTTTGGTTGTGCTTATTTCGGCTTTATGTAAGCAGCATCTCTGGATGCATAAATGAGGCAGATAAAATTCCCCAGGGTGACTGATCTGCCCTTCATCTATTTTTAGCACTGCAAAGAAGTTACCATAGCCTACAGCATAACTCAATCACTGTAAGCCAGTGAGCACATTCTGAGGTTTTTTTTTTTTTTTTTTTTTTTTAAATAACCTTTCCTGGAGGCATTTGGTATAGGCTAAGCTTAAAGGCACATGATTCAATCATTGATTATTCAAGACATGTCATACTTAGGCTTTTATAATCACCATATTGTCACTGTCAACTAGGTATTCAGCTCTGGTTTCTAATTTTGCACTGGAAGCTGTACAAAGTCTATTGTGTTGTGTGTGTGTGTCTGTCTGTGTGTGTGTGTGTGTGGCTCTGGCAATGCAGAAATGGCAACAAGGAAGTATCTAGCACCCACTAAAAGACTGATGAACACCAATTTGCTTTCTCTCAGTCAAGCCATCTTTCTGAAGAGAAACCTTGGCCTGTAGCTTGAACTGTTTGATCCTTGTATATCTTCCATCCCTTCCACCCTTAAGGAACCTCCATAAGGTGAGGACAATATGTCTTATTTACCACCTGCTATGGTCTAAATGTTAGTGTCCCCCTCAAATTCATATGTTGGAACCTAATACCCAATGTAATAGTATGAAGAGGTGAGCCCTTTTGGGTAGTGATTAAGTCATGGTTCAGTGCCTATATTAGTCAGGGTTCTCTAGAGGGACAGAGCTTATATATATATATATGTGTGTGTGTGTGTGTGTGTATATATATATATGTATGGGTGTATATATATATTTTTTTTTAATTTTATCAAGTTTATATAGTTTATTTAGTGGTATTAACTCATACGATCACAAAGTCCCATACTAGGCTGTCTGCAAGCTGAGGAACAAGGAAGCCAGTCCAAATACCAAAGCTGAAGAACTTGTGATTACAAGTTTGTAAGGCAGGAAACATCCAGCAGTGGAGAAAGATTTAGTCTGGGAGGCTAGGTCAGTCTAGCTTTTTCACATTTTTTCTGCCTGCTTTATATTCTGGCTGAGCTGGCATCTGATTAGATGGTACCCACCCAGATTAAGGGTGGGTCTACCTTTCCCAGCCCACTGACTCAAATGTTAATCTCCTTTGGCAACACCCTCACAGACATACCCAGGATTAATCCTTTGCCTCCTTCAATCCTATTAAGTTGACACTCAGTATTAACCAAAACAGTGTCCTCTTAAAAGAGGTGCCTTGCCCTTACTGCCATTTGGTAATATAACAAGAAGGCATCAGTTTTGAAGCAGAGAGCAAGTCCAGACACCAAATCTGCTGTCACCTTGATCTTAGACTTTCCAGCCTCCAGAAACTGTAAGCAATACATTTCTGTTATTTATAAATTACCCATTTAAGGTATTTTGTCCTAGTAGCCTGAACAGACTAAGATGTCACCTTACCTCTATAGTTCAGCACAGGGCTTAAGCTTAAGGAGGCAGTTATTCTTTTGTTCATTGATTGATCAGTTCTTTAACAAATGTGTGTTGGTACACACCTACATTCCAGCTTGTCTTGGAATGAAGTTTCCCCATCTTTGATAGGAATACATGCTTATCATTTCCATTCTGGCTGTAAGAGCTCCCCTATACCTCCTCTACTTCTTGGAAGCATGCTCCTCTAAGGTTGTTAGCTCCGCCCTCTTATCCAGATTTGCTCTTTTCCTTTGCATCTGCAGAATCAGCACTATTTCTATAAACAGAGTGGTTTCCCCTACTCCTGAATATCACTGGTTTCTGTTATTAATTTCTTTCATTCAAGGTTAAAGAGGTAGTTATATGATGTGACCTGTGATGGTTTCATGGTATGTCTGCTTTGGCTTGGATAAGTCACATCCCCCAGAACTCCCTTTCTAGTATGTTTCTGACTAGGGTGGTCTACAAGGAGAGTCTCTTGCAAAATTTGGAAGATGGAAGTGAGGCAGCAGTCACTTTGTAGCACACACGTACCTTCTCCTAATTATTGAAACAGTAATCTAGGTGCTGCTGGGAAGGAATTTTGCAGCTGTAAAGTCCCTAATCAGTTGACTTTAAGTTAGTCAAACGATATGTTATTCTAGGTGACTTAATCAGTCAAAAGTTTTTTAAAATTAGATTCTAGATCAGACCAAGGGAGAGAGTACAGTCATGGGTTCTTAGTTTCTATTTCTCATTGGGCCAGAAAAGCCCCTTCCTCATCCCTCTTTTCTGCTTGTTACTAGAGACAGAAACTAAAAACTATGGCTTCAGGCTGCTAAAAGCCTAAAACAAAACAAAACAAAACAAAACAGAACAACAACAACAAAATAAAGTGGTTTGGATAAGCTTGATCTATACCCTCCCTGAGGTCAGAGATTCCAAGTAGTAGAGCAGAAGGAAAGTTGTAGAACTTTTCTACATTTTGGGACAAAAACATTCATGTTGTTGCTGCTCTGCTGATTTGCCTTGTTGGTGTGAAGCAGCAGCTAGGTCTATAATTGCTTTACCTTCCAGATGTGTGTACTTCCAGTTTCACTGGCTCTTGGGTTAAGTGTGTGTGTACAGCTCCATGACTAAGAGCCCTGGCTTCTGCATGACATCCTCATCACTGAGCTCATCCTTGTGGTAGTCTAGCCTGCTTATGACTTTCCCTTTCTGATTACCTGCCTTGTGGATGTCAGGCCTGCTTAGCCAGCTCCTGCAGTTGTGTAAGATAATTCTTTGTAAAAAATCAATGGATAGATTAAAAAACAAAAACAAAAACAAAAAATCTTCTGCTGGTTCTGTTTTTCATGTCAAACCCTGACTGATACATAAACTGAAGAAGCAATTGTTGCCTTATATATCATGAAGTTGGACAGTTTGGAACCCAGATGTCCGCCAGCATTCATTCAATTATTCATAACTGTGCCATAGATGACAATATAGCAATAAACAAAGCAGATATGGACCCTGCCCTTGGAGAGTAGATCCTAGCAGGAAACAGATGTTATCTAATATTTATAGGATAATACATTAGCATGGAGTTGTCAGAAGATGTAACTAGGAGACCCTGCCTAAACTTAGGTGTCAGAGAAGGGAAGTAAGGGCCTGGGAGAAAGAGTGAGGGTCTGACAACAAATGAAAGTAATTCAGGAGGTTCTGCAAAGTTGTTGTTCATGGCAGTAGAAGGGATGAGGCTTGGGAGATAAACCACAGAGAGCTATGCAAGCCAAGATAGCGATGTCTGACTTTACCCCAAGGAACAAATATTTTTATTTAAATAACTTCGTGTTCTGGAATCCTATATAGTTATTTTATAATGTCACAACAGGGTTATATTTTGAACCTTTGAAGATCCCATGGTGTTAGTGTGTTTGATCCAGCCATTCCTGCCACTGTCCTCTTATTTTTTTGCACATTTTTTACAATCCTCTTGTGTAACCCATGTTGCCCTTTCTATTGTGCAAGCATCAGTTGGCTACTGTCATACTATTTTTAACTTGTTCTCCTGCCTTATGCTTTGAATTCTCACCCACTGAAAGGAAAATAAAACAAAACCTGCACTTTTCACATTAATTTACCTGACAGTTTCGTTTTGTCAGCGTTTACTTTCTGTTCTATTTAGATGTACAGAAAAGCTTCCAGAGGGTGGGCAGTTCCCCAGCCTCATTATTCTTGGTCTTCTGTCATCACCTGCGGTGTGGGAGCTCCGTCCTTCCTGAGGCTGTTAACCCTTTCTGACTACTGAGCCGTCTGATGCTCTAAGGATTTTCTTAATGAAGTAATTGATTTACTTAATGAAGTAAATGCCATCCTTGAAAACTAGGGCAGTAAATACCATCAATTCTATGTAGTAGAGAGAGGAAACACTGAAATGGTGCTAGAAGCTGCATGACAAAACCAGTCACAAATCTGAATAAGGTTGAACAATGTGAGCCTAGGATCAGTTTTTTCCTTCTTTTTTTTTTTTTTTTTGTTGAGACAGAGTCTCACTGAGTTGGAGTGCAGTGGTGCAATCCTAGCTCACCGCGTGCAGCCTTTAAGTCCTGGGCTCAAGCACTCCTCCCGCATAGCTGAAATTACAGACAAGGACCACTGGGCCTGGCCAGATTTTGCCATTTTTTTTTTCTCTTTCATTATTTTCAGGTTTCCCTGTATTCTCTATTCTGGTTTCCCTGTAGATGTCTTTGGGAAAGCAATGAAGTACAGAGGTTAAGCCAAACTGTAAAGTCAAACTGATTTGGGTGGGGAGTCAGGTTCTACTATAGCCTATTTCTATACTTGTAACATGGGAGTAGTGTTACATACATGTAATAGGTAAAAAAGGTGACATGTGCAAAGTAACTAGCTTAGTGCTAGGCACATAGACGGGGCTCAGTAAATTTCGTATATTAAGCATCATGATCTTTATTTTTCATCTCCAAATATTTATTCTGGAAACTGGAACATGCTGATAAGGTAAGCATGTGACATTGGAAATGCAAAATAAAATTTACATTCTCTAAGCCACAAAGAGCTACATTCACATAGCACTGGGGGAGGTGGGCAGGAACAGGATAACCTACTCCTAGCCAAAGGAGGCTTCTGACAACTTTTTCCAGCAGCAAAGACTCATGTGTGAGGATCTCAGCACCTGAGCACTCACCAGTCCTCAAATCCTGGAGTCTTAGACCCTCACATCTTAGAATCATCTCTTAACAAAATTTTATTTTTAAATTGACACATAATTGCACATATTTATAAGGTACATAGTGATGTTTTGATACATACAATGTAGAGTGATCAGATCTGGGTAATTAGCACATGCATCATCGCAAACATTTATTATTTCTTTGTGTTGGGAACAGTCAATATCCTCTCTTCTTGCTGTTTGAAAAAATATAATATTGTTAACTATAGTCATCCTACAATGCCACAGATCACTAGAATTTATTCCTCCTATCTAGCTGTAATTTTGTATCCTTCAACAAATCTTTCTCTATCCCTTTGTTCTGCCTATTCTTCCCAGTCTCTGGTAACCTCTGTTCCACTTTTTACTTCTCTGAGATCAACATTTTTTAGCTTCCACACATAAGTAAGAACACGTGGTGTTTGTTTCTGTTCCTGGCTTATTTCACTTACCAGAATGTCTGCCAGTTTCATCCATGTTGCCATGAATGACAGGATTTCATTCTTTTTAATGGGGGGCTAGTATTTCATCTCCTATATATACCATATTTTCTTTATTCATTCATCTGTTGTTAAACATTTTGGTTGATTCCTTATCTTGGCTATTGTAAATAGTAGTGCAATAAACATGGGAGTGCTGATATCTCTGTGATATATTAATTTCTTTTCCTTTGGATAAATGCCCTGTAATGAGATTACTGGATCAAATAGTAGTTCTATTTGTAGTTTTCTGCGGAACTTACATACTGTTCTCCATAGTGGCTGTCCTAGTTTACATTCCTATCAACAGTGTATAAGAGTTCCTTTACAAAAATTAGCCGGACATGGTGGTGTGTGCCTGTAGTCCCACTAGGGAGGCTGAGACAAAATAATTGCTTGAATTCAGGAGGCGGAGTTTGTAGTGAGCCGAGATTGCGCCACTGTACTCCAGCCTGGGTGACACAGCAAGGCTCTGTCTCAAAGAAAGAAAAAAAAAAATGTTCATCTTTCTCTACCTCCTTACTCACATTTGTTATTTTTTGTCTTTTGATAATAGCCATCCTAACTGGGATAAGATAGACAGTATCTCATTGTAGTTTTGATTTGCATTTCTCTGATGATTAGTGATGCTGAGCATTTTTTCATATATTTGTTGGCCAACTGTACATCTTTTCTGTTTGGATCGTTTGCCCATTTTTTAATTGGATTTTTTTCTTGCTATTGAGACGTTTGAGTTTCTTGTGTATTCTGAATATTAATCCTCTGTCAGATGAATAGTTTGTAAATATTTCCTACCATTTTGTAGGTTATCTTTTCACTCTGCTGATTGTTTTTCTTTTTTGTTACCCAGAAGCTTTTTAGTTTGACATAATTCTATTAATTTTTGCTCTTGTGTCTTGTGTTTTTGAGGTCTCATTCATAAAGTCTTTTCCCAGACTAATGTCCTGAAGCATTTCCTCTTTATTTTCTTCTAGTAGTTTTATAGTTTTGGGTCTTACTTTTAGGTGTTTAATTCATTTAGGGTTGGTTTGTGTATAGGTGAGAGGTGGGGGTCTAGGTTCATTCTTCTGCATATGGATATCCAGTTTTCCCAGCACCATTTATTGTAGAGACTGTCTTTCTCCAATGAATATTCTTGGTGCCTTTGTCAAAAGCAGTTGGCTGTAGATAGATGGATTCATTTCTGGATTCTCAGAATTGTTCTCAGTGAACAATTCTGTTCCATTGTTCTATGTGTCTGTTTTTATGCCAGTACCTTGCCATTTTGGTTACTATAGCTCTGTAGTATATTTTGAAGTCTGGTAGTATGATGCCCCCAACTTTATTCCTTTTGCTTAGGATTATTTTGGCTATTCAGGGTCTTTTATGTCTCATAAAAATTTTAGTATTGTGTTTTTCTATTTCACTGAAGAATGTCATTGGTGTTTTAATAGGGATTGCACTGAATCTGTATATTGCTTTGGGTAGTACAGTCATTTTAACAGTATTAATTTTCCCAGTCCCGGAACATGGAATGTCTTTTCATTTTTTGTGTCCTCTTCAATTTCTTTCATCACTGTTTTACAGTTTTCTTTGTAGAAGTCTTTCACCTCCTAGATTAAATATATTCCTAGGTAGTGTGTGTGTGTGTGTGTGTGTGTGTGTGTGTGTACTTATTGTAAATGTCTTTGCTTTCTTGATTTATTTTTCAGCTACTTTGTTATTTGTATATAAAGATGCTACTGATTTTTGTATGTTAATTTTTGATATGGTTTGGCTGTGTCCCCATTCAAATCTCAACTGAATTATATCTCCCAGAATTCCCACATGTTGTGGGAGTGACCTAGGGGGAGGTAATTGAATCATGGGGGCTGGTCTTTCCCATGGTATTCTCGTGATAGTGAATAAGTCTCACGAGATCTGATGCGTTTATCAGGGGTTTCTGCTTTTGCTTCTCCCTCATTTTCTCTGGCCTCCACCATGTAAGAAGTACCTTTTGCCTCCCGCCATGATCCTGAGGCCTTTTCAGCCGTGTGGAACTGTAAGTCCAATTAAACCTCTTTTTCTTTCCAGTCTCGGGTATGTCTTTATCAGCAGCATGAAAACAGACTAATACAGTAAATTGGTACCAAGAGTGGGGTGTTGCTGAAAAGATACTCAAAAATGTGGAAGCGACTTTGGAACTGGGTAACAGGCAGAGGTTGGAACAGTTTGGAAAGCTCAGAAGAAGACAAGAAAATGTGGGGAAGTTTGGAACCTCCTAGAAACTTGTTGAATGGCTTTGATAAAAATGCTGATAGTGACATGAACAATAAGCTCTAGGCTGAGGTGGTCTCAGATGGAGATGAGGAACTTGTTGTGTACTGGAGCAAAGGTGACTCTTGTTATGTTTTAGCAAAGAGACTGGCGGCATTTTATCCCTGCCCTAGAGATTTGTGGAACTTGGAACTTGAGAGAGATGATTTAGGGTATCTGGCGGAAGAAATTCCTAAGCAGCAAAGCATTCAAAAGGTGACTTGGGTGCTGTTAAAAGTACTCCATTTAAAAAGGGAAATGGAGCATAAAAGTTCAGAAAATTTGCAGCCTGACAATGCAGTAGAAAAGAAAAACCCATTTTCTGGGGAGAAATTCAAGCCAGCTGCAGAAATTTGCATGAGTAGCAAGGAGCCTAATGTTAACACCCAAGAACATGGAGAAATGTCTCCAGGCCATGTCAGTGACCTTCATGGCAGTCCCTCCCATCACAGGCCTAGAGACCCCCCAGGAGGAAAAAGTGGTTTCATGGGCTAGGCCTAGGGTCCCCGTGCTGTGTGCAGCCTAGGGACTTGGTGCCCTGTGTCCCAGCCACTCCAGCTGTGGCTGAAAGGGGCTAACATATAGCTTGGGCTGTGGCTTCAGAGGGTGGAATTCCCAAGCCTTGGCAGCTTCCACATGGTGTTGAGCCTGCAGGTACATGGAAGTCAAGAATTGAGGTTTGGGAGCCTTCGCCTAGATTTCAGAAGATGTATGGAAATGCCTGGATGCCCAGGCAAAAGTTTGCTGCAGGGGTGGGGCCCTAATGGAGAACCTCTGCTAGGGCAGTGCAGAAGGGAAATGTGGGGTCAGAGCCCCTACAAAGAGTTCCTACTGGGGCACTGCCTAGTGGAGCTGTGAGAAGAGGGCCACTGTTCTCCAGACCCCAGAATGGTAAATCCACTGACAGTTTGCACCATGCTCCTGGAAAAACTGCAGACACTCAACAACAGCCTATAAAAGCAGCTGAAAGGGAGGCTGTACCCTGCAAAGCCACAGAGGAGGAGCTACCCAAGACCACAGTAACCCACCTCTTGCATCAGCGTGACCTGGATGTGAGACCTGGAGTCAAAGAAGATCATTTTGGAGCTTTAAAATTTGACTGCCCCACTGGATTTTGGACTTGCATGGGCCCTGTAATCCCCTTTTCTGGGCCAACTTCTCCCATTTGGAACAACTGTATTTACCCAATACGGTTACCTCCATTGTATCTAGGAAGTAACTAGCTTGTTTTTGACTTTACAAGCTTATAGACAGAAGGGACTTTCCTTCTCTCAGATGAGACTTTGAACTGTGGACTTCTGGTTAATTCTGAAGTGAGTTAAGACTTTGGGGAACTGTTGGGAAGGCATGATTGGTTTTGAAATGTGAGGACATGAGATTTGGAAGGGCCAGGGGCGTAATGATATGGTTTGGCCTCTCCCCATTCAAATTTCAACTGAATTGTATCACCCAGAATTCCCACGTGTTGTGGGAGGGACCTAGGGGAAGATAACTGAATCAAAGTCTTTCCCATGCTATTCTTGTGATAGTGAATAAGTCTCACGAGATCTGATGGGTTTTTCAGGGGTTTCTGCTTTTGCTTCTTCCTCAGTTTCTCTTGTTGCCACCACGTAAGAAGTACCTTTTGCCTCCCACCATGATTCTAAGGCCTCCCCAGCCACGCGGAACTGTAAGTCCAATTATACCTCTTTTTCTTCCCACTCTTGGCTATGTCTTTATCAGCAGTGTGAAAACGGACTAACATAATTTTGCATTCTGTAACTTTACTGAATTCATTTATCAGCTGTAAAAGTTTTCTGATAGAGTCTTTAGGTTACTCTACACATACGATCATATCTACAAACAAGAACAATTTTACTTACTCTTTTCCAATTTGGGTGCTTTTTCTTTCTCTTGCCCAATTGCTCTGGCTAGGCCTTTTAGTACTATATTGAATAAGAGTGGTAAGAGTGGGCATCCTTGTCTTGTTCCAGTTCTTAGGGGAGAAACTTTCAGCTTTTTCCAGCTCAGTTTAATGTTAGCTGTGGGTTTGTCATATATGGCTTTTATTGTGTTGAGGTATTTTCCTTTCATACGTAATTTATTTAAAGTTTTTATCATGAAGTGAAATTGCATTTTATCAAATGCTTTATCTTCATCTATTCATATGATCATGTGATTTTTGCACTTCATCTGTTGACGTGAGGTAATACTTGTACTGATTTGTATATGTTGAACCAGGCTTGCATCCCTGGGATGAATCTCACTTGATCGTGGCATATAATCTTTTAGATGTGTTGTTGGATTCAGTTTGCTAGAGGTTATTGAGGATTTTTGCATCTGTGTTCATGAGGGATATTGGTTTATGGTTTCCTTTTTTTGCTGTGTCCTTTACCTGTTTTAGGTCTCAGGGTTATTAAGCATTATGATCTTGAACAAGGTGACTTCTCCAGAGGCGAAGGGGGATTTAACTGCCCTTTACTCAGCAGTTTACTCAACAGTTTATCTTTTCCCTTTTTACTCCTTTTCATACAGTGGGAGTAAGAAGCCTTGTTTGCTTTCAGAGCAGTACCTGATTTTTCAAGTTCCAAATCAGGAATCGTGAGAGGGAGCCAGGTTCATGAGTTGTGAGGACCCTCGCGGAGCTTGCCCAGATTGTTTTAAAAGTACGTTGGGCCGGGCATGATGGCTCACACTTGTAATCCCAGCACTTTGGGAGACTGAGGCTGGCAGATCACTTGAGGTTAGGAGTTTGAGACCAGCATGGCCAACATGGTGAATCGCCTGGCTCTACTAAAAATACAAAAAGTGACCAGGTGTGGTGGCACACACCTGTAATCCCAGCTACTTGGGAGGCTGAGGCAGAATTGCTTGAATCTGGGAGGCAGAGGTTGCAGTGAGTTCATGCCACTGCACTCCAGCCTGGGCGACAGAGTGAGACTTTGTCTCAAAAAAAAAAAAGAAAGAAAAGTGCATTGGAATGAAATATTTTCAGAAATAGTGGTAATGGCTTACAGTATTGTAACTGTATAATTAATGCCACTGACTTGTACACTTAAAAATGGTTAAAATGGTAAATTTTATGCCATCTGTATTTTACCGCAATAAAAAAAGTACTAAAAAACCAAACCAAAAAAATTTCAGAAAGAAACAAAAAAAGAAATTAGAGACAGGCCTGCTGGCTGTCTGAATAATCCCCTCCTCCCACTACCAAATGTAGGTTAGCTCAGTAATAACGTGACCCACTTAAGAACTGTATGGGGACTATTATTGCTAACTGATTCCAGAAGGTGAGTTAGAAAAACCCATATCTAACCTCCTCACTTATACAAGTGAGGTCGGAGACCCTGAAAGTGTGACTTGCTAAAGACTATGTAGCACCCGAATACTCTGGGGACGAGGTCACCAACGCTGCACAACACCATGCTGATTCACTGAGGCCACTGGAGCATTCCAGGCCTTCCGAGCGCTGAAATGAGGCCTCTTTTCTTCCATTCTTACTCCAGGTGCCTAATCCTTGTCACTAAGCATCCAGTTGCTCAGGGTTCTAAAATTGTACAAAGCAGGACCAAGGTATTAGGTTTCAGTCACAGCCAAGCAAGTGTGGACAGTGAATAATGTGTGAAGATTCCATAGCTTGATCACAGTCTCTTCTGTCCTGCTGTCTGAACTTCATTGTCAATCCTCGAACAGGTCACACTCTCATGATAGGGACTTTTCATATGCTGTTCCTTCTACCTTGAATTCCCTTCTCTACTTTGATAATTCCTATTCTTCAGGTTTCAGGTGAAACATGGCTTTGTTTAGAAAGCTGTCCTATCCTCCCAGCCTATGTTAGCTCAGCCTATTGTGTAATTTCTTAGTAACCTACACTTCTTTGTAGCCTTCATCATACTGGTAATTATTTGTATTATGTCTGAGTTCCAGGCATGAGTGCAGGATCTTGGTCTGTCCTGTCCACCACTGTTTCCCAAGAACATAGAGTCTGTCTGGCACATTTGTGTTCATTAAAGAAAAAAAATAAATTAACCCTGTCTTCTCATGGAAGAATGAAGATAATGAGATACCCTTACTTGTATTAGCAGGCATGTGTGCTGAAGGAAGTAGGGCAGACACTCCCTTTAATCTATAAATACTGATCTAGGCATTAGCTGATACACCAAAGAAATATACAAATGAGCAGGGTAGAGGGGCTGAGTGCAACTGCTCACATTTGCATTGTATGCATGTGAGAGTAAACAGTAAATCAACAGCAGAGGGGATATAGGTTGGATATAAGGCAACGTTTTCTGGTATGATATTAAGGATCGTTAAAAATGGGTCGGATAACAGAGGAAGGTGGTGGAAACACCTTCCCTAGCGGCTTCAGAAAACAGGCCAGAGTTCCATTTTAGCCGGTTATTTTAGGCCTACTCCAGGCAGCAGGTAGACTAGACATCCTCTTAGGGTCCAATCATTCTGTTCCTCTGACCCATAATAAATAAAGCTATAGATGCTGTTGTTGCCAATACATACGCAAATGCAAAATGCTTCTACACCGTCTTGGGGCTGTAAATGTTGCTAGTTCATTTTCTACTTAGCGTTCTCAATTCACCTTTTGTTTAAGAAATTACCTCAGTCTTTAAGCACGGCAATCTCTTTCTCTAAAGGACTTATTCTATATTTCAAAGCAAGAACTGCAATGCATATCAATTTAACTTTTGTATTGACATTTACCTTAAAAAGTGGAGAATACAAACTAGGAGAAAGAATTTAAAAATAGCCTGCTAGTCCAACTAAGTTCCAGCATAAAAACAGAGTGATCTGGACATGTTGTGTGTTGTAATCCCAGTGAGGAGGCTGGGACAAATTTTCTTTCTCTGCCTTTAAAGTGAAGGAAGGGAATGGTCTTGAATATGCAAATGAATCTAATTTAATTAACTTTTACGACCACAGCTCCTTTGAGATAACCATGGGAGCCAATTCGATTCCATTAAAATTCAACTATTTCCCTAAAGCTTCGATGAGACACCCTTGTCTTTTATAAGAAAAAAACAAAACCAAAAACAAAATGTGAAAAGATCTAATCAGAAACAATGAATAAGAGTAAGTTATCTGCTGCAGTTCTGCTATTTGGTCTCACCAGAAGCTGCTCACACAGTCATTTACTTCGCTGCCAGCAGCAGAGCGAAATCATTCCAGGTCAGTCATGTAACTGCTGACCCAGAGTTTATCCTAAACTGGGACTATGAAAGGTAAAGGTAATGATATTTCATGCTTCTGAGCAAAAACTCAAGCCTCATGAGGCTGAGGGAAGAATTGCCTTGACCTCAGGCCAGAGATGAAGACGAATTTATGCCACTTCTTCCTTTTGTAATATTCTTTCTTGTCTTCCCCCGAGTACAAATATAATACATATTTATTGGCTAGGTGCAGTGGCTCATGTCTGTAATCCCAGCACTTTGGGAGGCCCAGGTGGGCAGATTGCCTGAGGCCAGGAGTTCCAGACCAGCCTGACAAACATGGTGAAACCCCATATTTACTAAAAATACAAAAATTGGCTGGATCTGATGGTGCGCCTGTAATCCCAGCTACTCAGGAGGCTGAGGCAGGAGAATCACTTGCACTCAGGAGGTGGAGGCTGCAGTGAGCCAAGATTGTGCCACGGCAGTCCAGCCTGGGCAACACAACGAGACTCTGTCTAAAAAACAAAAAACACTCCATATTTATTGTGAAAAAGAAAAAAGAAAACAGAATGACTAAAAGAAGCTGCTCAGATCTTGGAAGAGTTTGGAAGGCTCTTTCCCAATTTTGTTGCCTTCTTTTCCCCTTAATAAGCAGACTTTTAGAGGACTTTGTGAGTGGTGGTGGTGGTGGTGGTGGGGTGCTAAGTTTGTGAAGTGGGGATATTACATTCAAGTTCTTTCTTTCCTTTTTTTTTATCCTTAAAAAATTTTTTTTTATTGTGGTAAAATACTCATAACATTTACCATTGTAATCATTTTTAAGCATGCAGTTCTGTGGCATTGATTACATTTACATTGCTGTTACCCATTGCTGTCATCCCCCTCCAGAAATTTTTCATTTTTCCCAACTGAAACTCTGTGCTCATTAACAATAACTGTCCAGCTCCTGGCTACCACCGTTCTACTTTCTGTCTCTGTGAATGTGACTATTCCAGGTACCTCATATCAGTGGAATCATACAGTATCTTTTTGTGATTGGCTTATTTCCCTTAGCTTAATGTCCTCCAGTTTCATCCATGCTGTAGCATGTATCATGTCAAAATCTCCTTCTTTTTAAGGCTGAGCCATATTTCACTGGACATATATACCACATTTGCTTATTCATTTGTCAATTGAGACTTGGGTTGCTTCCACCTTTTTGCTATTGTGAATAATGCTGCTATGAATATGGGCATACAAATATCTCCTTGAGACCCTGCTTTCAATTATTTTGAGTATACACTCAGAACCTTCCTTTTTTTCTTTTAAACCTACGTTCCGCACCACTCACCCCTCTTGTTTCTAACACTATGCAATTACATAGCTGCTCATGGTTTCTAAATCCTGGCCCCTGAATCATTGTCCACAGTTGAAAAGTATGTGGTGGGTCCACCCATTATCTGATCCACCTGAAAGTGCCTTGAGACACATCCAGCAATGTGCAATTGGGTTTCTGGGAGCTGTGCTACCTGCTAGTTCTAGAAACATTAAATGTCATATGACTTAAATATTGCAATTAATTTTAGCATGACCAGAGGCAATATTTCTACTTCTTCACATAGGCGAGCTATGTCTAAAACACAAATCTTCTGAAGAGTAGGTCACAGTGCTCTGCATTATGTGTTTATATAATTGTGCAGGCTACTAATTGGAATGTAGAGTTAAAGTTACTGTAGGAGGTTTTCTAACTGAGTAGATTAAAGAACTCAAAGTTTATATTTCCTTTAGTTAGATTTTTAAAATAATAAAGTACTGACATTCTAACAAAAGATACACAATTATAAAATCATTAGAAAGAAAAAAGATGAGGTGATAAACAGACCACTTCTGTGGTTATAGGACAAAGGAGAAAGAAAGATAATAAAAAACAATTAAAACCAAAGTTATTTTCCCACCAATAATTTTATCTGTCTTTCTTTTCAAGCCCTTAAGTCTCAAAATTATTCCCTCTTCCATGTCCTAGTCCAGGATGAATATTCTGTGCCCGAATTATTGCAATTTCAACAGCTAAGATCTATTGAACACTTAATTCCATGCCAAACACTGTTAGTCTAAAGCATGTATCAGCTTACTTTAACCCTTATATCAATATTCTGAAGTCGACTGTATCACTAGGGGCAATTGAATATCTAAGATTCATTCTCCTCTCTTCTTGCTTGCCAACAGAACACAATTTTGCTTGGAATATCAATATATTCAACTAAATACGCATGTTCCCCGTCTCCATCACCACTAGTGAGGCTCTGTGATCCAGTTCTGGCAAATGGGAAGTAAGCAGAAGTCTGCTGGGGGCTTCTGGGAAGCTTTTCTCTTTCCTGATAAAATAAGACACACATAGCTAGATTAAAGCTCTCGACCTGCCCCTGCTTCTTTCTGTTTTAAGTCTACGACCTAAGACAGAACTGTTATGGCTGGAGTGATATAGCAGCCACCTTAGAAACACAAGGCAATGAGCCACTCTGCTAAGAAAGGCAGAGTTGAAAGCTAGAGAGAACCTGGAATCCTGGTGGCATTGCTGAACAGTTGAATCATTCCCAGCAACTGCCTACCTCTGTACTTTCAGTTATAGGGGAAAAATAAACTATTTGTTTAAGCTGTGAGTAGATGGGTGTTTAGTTACTTGCAGTTGTAAGCCTTCCTAATCCCATGTTTCAGTTAAGGAAATAAAAGGCTAAGTAACTTACTAAAATATATATGATCCTTCAGTGGTGATATGGTGATTTGAACTTATATCATCTGACCTAGAGTCGGAGCTTACTCTCTTACACATGGTTCTATATCACATCCCCCTTGTGCTATACTGCCAAGTCTACTTATGAGTTTTTCAGGAAATAAACTTGATCTTGAGCCTCCCTCTTAATTCTTCTTCTCACAGATGCCAGTGTGATACGTCTAAAGCCAGATCTGACCTTCTCACTTTCTTGCTTAAAACCATCAACAATATTTCTTTCTGTAGAGCTGGGATGTAACCTCAACTGTCTTGAGAGCCAGGTAGGTAAAATAATTGATAGAGACAAGCAGATCGTAAGAAAATCAATTTTGTTGGTATATTAGTTATCTACTGCTGTATAACAAATTGCCCTGCAAACTTAGCAGCTTAAAACAACAAATGCTCATTTCTTGTATGGTTTCTGAGGGTCAGGAATCTGGGAGCAGCTTAGCCGAATGGTTCTGGCTCAGGTCTTTCATGAGTTTGCAGTCAAGATGTTGATGGGGGCTTCAATCATCTGAATGCTAGAATGGAAGTTCTGCTTCAAAAAGACTCATTCCTATGGTGATTGCTGGAAGCTTCAGTTTGTCACCATGTGGGCCTCTCCTCACAACATGTCAGCTGTTTTCCTCCAGAGCAAGTAATCTAAGAAAGGCAGAATGACAGCTAGCCTGGGAAATGGAATAACATCACTTCTGTCATATTCCATTGACATATCAAACATATCAAACCTGATACAGTGTGAGAGGGGACTGTACAAGGATGTGGATACCAGGAAGTGAGGATCAGTGGGGACCAGCTTGGAGGCTGACAACAACAGGTAGATACTGGACAAAAGGGTGATATTTGCTATTTAACTTCAGCCAATTGTTCCACTATGTGGAATACAGGTCCTATGTTATTGGATTTTCCCATTTCTCAAATAAAGTCAGAAATACACATTTCTGAGTTATATCCCATGATAGTAAACGCTGGCTCCGAATTGCAAAAAATCCTGTGCAGGTCAAATAAAATACAGATACCATTCAGATATGGCCGGTGAGTTGCCATTTTGCAACCTCTCTGACCCATAGCTTGCAAAACGTATGTAGGTCCAATTCCAATCTGTGATACTGCCTAAAGTGATATTTTCAGTAGGATTTTGAAGACAAGTCGGGGCCTAGCTAGGAATGCACCATGGTAATTTAGTAATGTCTTCCATGGATGAAGGAGGGGAGAGTGATGACATATGTGCCTCAGATTGACACAGATGGCTATAATTCATTACCCAAACTAGGATGCTTTTGAGAGTAAAAGGAGGTGCTATATTAATTATGCTGACACAGTGACCATAAATTAGCACGGACTCAGGCAAACCAGGATGTGTGGTCACCACCTGCACCACCCTTAGTGAAACCTTCCCACTTCTGAACCCCACTGCCCACACTCCTGCTGTTGCCCCGCTCATCCTATCTTCTCTTCCCCACTTATCTGCTTCCTCCTGGAGTTCAACTTCTTCAAGTTCCAGTGGAAGTATCACTTTTTTCCCATTGTCTTCACCTCCTCCCCTCCTTTTCAGGTGAATCGCTCTTTTACCAGAGTTTTGTAGTATTTTATACATATCTTTAATGCAGCATTTCTGACAGCAACCTATGCACAGGGGCCAGTGATTAAATCCTAAATACTCATTTAGGATTCTCAGTACCTATCTCAGCATCTGGCATACAGTAGGTGCTTGGTGATAATTTATTGGAATTCTATTTTGAATCCCACCTCCCCTCTTTTTCTCTAACACCCTCTGCAGGAGATGATAATGAATAGTAAAAAATGCCAAGCACACAGTAAGCAGGAGGAACAGAGGAAATCCACAGATTGGATAATTGTTTCTTGAGTAACTGACCATCAATCTAAATAGTGGTTGCAGTAATTTCAAATTCTTCTCTTCTTTTTCACTTCAGGTGAATGAAACCTGTTTTCACCGAGAATGAGTTTCTGTCTTGACAGTAAGAATGGCTACTATCGCCCATAGTGTACAGACTAAATTCTCAGTGTATGTATGTGTTTTATAAAAGCTATCCCCTTGGAAGTTCATAACTAAGCAGTGAAACTCAATCTCAGGCATAAACAGGACATGTAGGAAGATTTATTCTCTCATGTACGCATCTAACACTTAGTAATACTTGTGCATTGTCTATAAACCTCAGGGGGGAAAATAGAAACCGCTGGATAGCAATGCTTTCTATAAATGCCCATGAGTGAAATTAAACTGGAAGATGTTAAATGGAAAGCTCCATGGGACTGAGGCATGTTTTTGTTGGAGATGGCTAGAGTGAATGGTAGGACACTATTATAATCCAACAAATTATTATTAATTTTAATCCTAACGTCAGAGAGGTGGGGTGGAGCAAAGGAAAACCATATGCTACCTTTTCTTTGGCAGGCTTTCATTTGGTCTCTTTTCAAATCAGAAGACCCAGAAAACTTGGATCCACTTCTGGCTCTGATTCTTCTGGGCAGTGTGATTTAGAGTCAGTCATAACTTTTCTCTGTGTTATCTTTCTGTTTAGGAAGGGACTACTAATGGCACCAATTTCACAAGGTTATATGAATAAGGTATGTGAAAAGACTTTGTAGATTGGGGTGAAGTCTGCAAATGGTAGTTGGGACTATTCTTAGGCTGATGTTCAGGCAGGGTGTTGGAGAGAGAGTGGGAGGGAAGAACAGAATGAACAACCGTCCTTTAAGCCGCCCCCAGGCCTCTCCTGACTGAAACCCTGGTTTATCCCATGAAAGCAAGGTTAATAATACTATCCAATAAAGCAGGAACACTTAGAAATTAGTCTGGAACAAGATGGAATTTGCCAAGGAGGGTTGGTCCTGACATCACATGCTTTAAACCTGTGGCTGGCAGCCAGTTGGTTGCTCTATCATTACCTGCTCTGGAGAGGGCGAGTCTAAATCGGAATGCTCTTTCCTTGGTTCAGGCTGTTTCTGCTGAGTCCCATCGTGTTGATTATAGTTCTTCTTCTCTGTAACTGGCTGTTTCATTCTTGACTCACCTCCAGACTCATAAATAGCCCACAGAAAACACAGAGGCTTTAAAAGTTGCCTATCTTTTAACCTTGTGCCCTAATATGTTTTGTAGAATTGTCGAGACATACAGTATTTTTCCTGCCTTTCCAATACCCAGTCAGGAGCAAAAACCATGATAAACTCCCTTCGCATCTTTTGTAGGAGAGATAGACAAACGCCGGAGAGTTTCTCTGCAATTGTGTGGCCTTGGGTGGTTTCTTCAACTACAGAAAGAGAGGTAATAATAACTAACGTGGAGGCTGTTGTGAGCATGAGGAATAATTTAAGGAAGAACACCTGGTACATGGCAAATGTCCCATAAACATAATTGCCATTGTTATTAATAATAATGTGAAAAGCATTCAGAACAAAACATTTGAAATGAATCCTGGAAAGATTAATTTATGCTTAATAGTCGAGAGACTCTCTCTCCATCTTTTCTATGTGGTGATTTAGAAGAAAGTGCCTGCTGTAGCTGGAGAGAGAAATGTCACACACAGACATTTAAATAATGCAATGGATGGAGGACATTTCAATATATTGAAAAATGATTAAAGAAAGTAACCCAAGACGGACCGAGTGTACCTGCAGTGATTTTGTTGTTGTTGTTTGGTTTTTCAGTTGAGCAGATGCTCTGGGTGCCACTCCATCATATATTGGAAACAGCATTACTGTATGGTAAATCATGACCGTGGTGTGTGACAATGAAGTTGCATCTGAAGCAGCCAGCACCCTATATGCTAGTTGGCTTTTAGACCAGGAGACTGTGAATGTGTAGTCAGGATCTCTTTAGGGCTGGCTAAATATATACTACCTACTATCACTCACTGGAGCTGCAGACCCTAGTCTTAGAGTTTCACTTCTTAAAGACCTTCATCCTTATTAAAATGGTAATATCCTTGCTGTTATCAATCACTGACACATTGGTATGAGTGAGTTTGAGTCTGGTTTGAAGAGCAGGTTTACTGGAGGGGGAGACTAACAGGGAAACTGGGAGGGAACCCACAGCTACTCTGCAGAGAAGGAGAGAGGGAGGTGCAGAGGGGAGGGTGGCCATACTAAGACTGTCCTGGCTAGAGAGGAGGATTGGGCCATTTTGCTTTTTTTTTTTTTTTTTTTTTTTTTTGAGACAGAGTTTTACTCTGTCCACTAGGCTAAAGTGCAGTGGCATAATCTTGGCTCACTGCAACCTACATCTCCCCGATGCAAGTGATTCTTGTGCCTCAGCCTCCTGAGTAGCTGGGATTATAGGTGTGTGCCACCACGCCTGGCTAATTTTGTATTTTTAGTAGAGACGGGGTCTTACCATATTGCCCAGGCTGGTCTTGAACTCCTGACCTTAATCCACCTACTTCAGCCTCCCAAAGTGCTGGGATTACAGGTGTGAGCCACCAAGCCTGGGTATTTTACATTCTTAAAGTAGCTTTATCATCCACGCCTCTTCTCCTCTATGCTAGCACTGGTTACACTTACAGAGATGGAGCACGATTTTCTTCCTTATTCTTCTCTTTGTTCTAGGAACCACAAAGTACAGGTGTCAATCTTACTAGCAAGGAAAGAAGGCCTCAGCAATAGCGAGAAACCGAACTTATTCGTGAGGCCTTGCATTTTGATGTAAATTGTTTCCAAATATTCAATAAAACACAAAAAAAGTAATGAAAAATTTTTAATAGCCTGAGGTGAGTATAGTGTAGTTCTTCTGGTGGAAAAATTATGTAATGTTAAATCATCCTCCTTCATGAAGATATATGTATTCATATACGAAACTGAGGTTTCACAGGTTATTGTGAATGGTTCAAAGAGCTATGGATAGGCTGGGCATGGTGGCTCACGCCTATAATCCCAGCACTTTGGGAGGCCGAGGCGGGGGGATCACCTGAGGTCAGGAGTTTGTGACCAGATTGGACAACGTGGTGAAACTCTGTCTCTACTAAAAATACAAAAATTAGCCGGGCATGGTGGTGCACACATTTGTAATCCCAGCTACTGGAGAAACTGAGGCAGGAGAATCACTTGAACCAGGGAGTGGGAGGTTGCAGTGAGCCGAGATCACTCCAGTGCACTCCAGTGAGTGTGACAGAGTGAAGCCTCATCTCAAAACAAAACAAAACAAAGCAAAAAAGAGCTATGGATAGAGTGATGGGAAAACTGAAAGTAGATTTACTGTGAATTTTTGTTAATCGCCATCTATAATTATTTTTATATTTGTGTACTTATTTATTGTCAGTTTTCCCCCCTAGAATGGAAACCCAGTGAGAGCAAGGACTATTTCTCTGTTCTCCACCATGTCTCCCACCACCTAGCACAGCGGTTGGCATATGTTTGAGGAATGACAAATTTGTGATCCAGTTTTATCCACTGGATCAAAATTACCTTTTTCCTAAATTTACTTTAATATAAGCACTAAAATGAGATACCTGAAGATTGTTTAAAACATAAAAACTCAATCCTGACATGAAATTATTTATGATAATCATGAATGTATCCTCTGCTAGACCCAGATTAGTATGACTGTATATTTTCAACATCTGTCATTTTAAAATAAATTATTCAACATTATTAGATTTCTTATAAATGACATCAGTCAATTAGCACTGCAAGGCTGAGTCTTGAGAGTTTTTTTTTTTAGAGGCTGGGTTGGTAAATGTCTTAACTCTTCATATTCCCTGGAAAGGATGAAAGCAATCTGGGTTCCCAGTAGGCTCCCTCCCGCCCATCCCTATTGAAGATTTAATTAATGTGCCCATTATTTTGGGCTGCCCATTCCAACACTGCTGGACATAGGTAAAGGTAAGAGTTTGAACCAGGAGAATGGGACTGAAGCCCCTGCTTCCCACCATTGGAAGAGTTACAACTGGCACTTCCCATCGTTTAGTGGCAGTGAATCAAAGACTCTTGTGCTGACGGCTAAAGACTCACTTTTATATAAAGGCCCTGCCGGGCCTTTACATATTGAAATGAATCATTGTCGCCTGTGTCAATTTTGCTCTTCATTTGCTTGATGTATTTCATCACATTTGGAGGTATTAAGAATCACTGTTTGAGCTATTGTATTTATTGTCACACAGTTATACTTCGGGCTTTCCGCAAACCTGTAGAAAATATTCTGCTTTAAGATATTAATGGGCTATTAGCATCCTGCATCGTCAAGGCATTTAGTTCTAAGACACCTCTTAAAGTTTAATAAGACAAAAGATTTGCTTTTTCTTAAATCTCTAGATTAGGGTGACCGGCTTGTCCTGGTTTGCCAAGTACTTTCCTGGTTTTAAAGCTGAAAGTCCCACATTCCTGGTGTCCTTCCAGGCCTGGATAAATGGAGGTTAGTCACCCTATCCCTACTTGTGTTGTTGGGAGACCTTATCAGGATTTCTTGAAACCAGAGCATACAATTGATTTGAGTCCAGCTTTACAAGTTAAAGAATAATAAATCTCCACCATGGCAAAGAAACTAAAGTCAATAAGTCGTAAAAGTATACTAAGGAAGAATAAGTAAAAGTATACTAAGGAAAAAACCCTCAAGACTCAGCCTTGCAGAGTTCTTTGAAGTACTGCTCTTTGGAACCAGCCTGGGATTCAGACATTTGTGCCTTGCTGCTTTTCAATCCAAGGAATGCAGGGTCAAGTTATCAGAAGCATTTGAAGTTGTTTGGAGAATTGTGAAGAATTTCACTGGGCTAAACAAATTATACATCTCGGGATTGATTGCAGAGGGGCATAGGATGATAGTGTCTGCATCAAAGACAGCAGCGATGCCTTTGATAGAATGAATCACTGCTACTAAATCGTCTTAAATGAGAACCAGCTTTTCCCTCCAAACCAATCGGATTGATCTGTGCATTGAAAAATGTTTCTGTCACTCCTTTTGCTGCGTTGGAGACAAGAATGCTGCAAGAAGTGCCAGAAGTCGTGCTTGCTGGGATTGAGAATATCGTATTTATGGTCTGAGCGCATTATCATTTGACCACTCCTCTATTGTGCATGCTAATTCCTTGAAAATTACTAAAGGACCCTCTGAACTTCTCAGTCTGCTTTTCTAATCCTTTTTTTTGTTGTTGTTGTTATTGTGTTCCGTGTTCTTTTATGTGATGGTCATTGGGGTGTGGCCACAAGAGGCCACACAGCAGAGGCTCAGGAAAACAAAGCTTATTATCCCCATAGGGTCTGGAAACAGGAGGCATCTTTATTGGGGTTTTCATGGGAAAGGTATGGCAGAGTAAACTGGTTAGAACTGGCTATTTTGAATAATTCCTGTAAGCTTTGGGCTATAGGAGTGGTCTTTAGTTGCCTGGTATGTGACCCTGGGATGATTAAGGCAGAGGAATATTGCCTCCTGGTAGAGGAGGTATGGCTCTGGACTGGTTGGTTTGCATATCAAAGGCATTCTCCATGAGCCCTCTGCTATCTCTAAGAACTGGCTAACCCAAAAGGGGCAGTCTCTTCTCAGCTAGATTTTTAAGATGTGAAAACATCGTAACAGGCCAGGCACGGTGGCTCATGCCTGTAATCCCAGCACTTTAGGAGGCCAAGGTGGGCAGATCCCATGAGGTCAGGAGTTCCAGACCAGCCTGGTCAGCATGGTGAAACCCCATCTCTACTAAAAATACAAAAATTAGCTGGGTGTGGTGTCGAGTGCCTGTAATCCCAGCTACCTGGGAGGCTGAGGCAGGAGAATGGCTTGAACCCAGGAGGCAGAGGTTGTAATGAGCCTAGATCATGCCACTGCGCCCCAGCCTGGGCGACAGAGCAAGACTCTGTCTCAAATAGATAAATTAAATAAATAAACAAATAAATAAATAAAACATCATAACATATAGAAAAAAATTACAAATACAAATTGACACTTCGCTGATTCCCAGAGAGGGAAGGCAGCATGGCATAGCAGAAAGAGTGAGGTCTGAAGTCAAATCGTATGGGTTTAAATCTTGGCTTTGCCTGGTATGAACCGTAAAGTGTAGGCAAGTCTGTTGATTTCTTTGGGTCTCAGTTTATCATCTACAAAATAGACTTAACAATTCTTTTCATGATTGCTGGGAGAACAGATGGGATGATATATGTGAAAGTTCTTAGTAGGTACAGAAATTATATTAAAAAAGAAACAAATCCACATGCTATGATGCAGTGTGGACTATCTTCGGTCACCTACCGAAGATGTCAAAGGTGCTCTTAAACTGCTTTGGTTTGATAAATGTTGGAGTAGACTAGAAGTCAGAGAGTACGGGATCCACCCTTATCTGCTCTCAGGCTTTGGTTTACAATGAGTTCAAGTGTGGGGATTGTGTCAAATGATTCCTGGAATCCCTTACATTTGTAAAATTCTATGAATTTGTGAAGTCTGCAAAATGTAAATCTGAGTTGTATGTAGAGCAACTATTAGAAAATTTATCACATTATATATATATAAAAATATATATAAATATATATATATATATATTTGTTTGAGACGGAGTCTTGCTCTGTCGCCCAGGCTGCAGTGCAGTGGTGCCATCTCAGCTCACTGCAACCTCCATCTCCTGGCTTCAAGCCATTCTCCTGCCTTAGCCTCCTGAGTAGCTGGGATTACAGGTGCCTGCCACCATGCCTGGCTAATTTTGGTATTTTTAGTAAAGATGGGGTTTCACCATGTTAGTCAGATTGGTCTTGAACTCCTGACCTCAAGCAATCCACCCACCTTGGCCTCCTAAAGTGCTGGGATTACAGGCGTGAGCCACCGCGCCCAGCCCTATCACATTATATTTTACAGTAGCCATCATCCCACACCTTTGGGCCTAGCCCCAGAAAGAGCGGTCCCCTGCATACCATTCAACATGACCTTGGGCATCCTTTCCCCACTCCCCAGCCATAGCTGTTTGGGCTAGGGTTGGAAACCTGTCCACGGTAGGCCCCTTGGAGTCTCTTGCTGGATACTT